TGGAGACTTCTGAGCCCATAATGCTGACATTATAGTTGAAAGAATCCATACCATGGGTGATGAACAGATTACTGTGTTATTAATCATGCTTGGCTAGAAACACATGGGTAACCTACAAAAAACAGTTTATAGTCTTGCCAAGAGAAGCTTTTGTTCTTGGAAAAGAATTGTATCAAAGGCTACTCTGTCCTATTATTATATGAGCAGTGGCTTTGAAATGGGGCTTGTCAGATTTCAGAGCACCAAACAGCAAGGAACATATGAAAGAAAACAAGCATTGGATTGCACCTCCGTATTCAATGACCTCTGCAAGTCCTTATCTAGTTATTCTGTTTGGGAACACAAATACTTAAAATACTGAAAGATAATAAAGGATATCTGACAAAACTGGAGAAAAGCCAGGCAATTTCTAGAACCTAAAGATAGTGTAAGTCTCGCTATCTCCTCTCACTGGGGCCTGTTTCACACTGAACAGTGAAAAAGTTGTAGACTTTGTAAGATAAAAGGTCTACTAACAGGGAAAGTGCAATAGAACAGTGACGCACACGAGCGGAGAAAATGGACACATACGTTTGTGTGTGAGAGAGGCTGGATCTACACTGCCATATAATGCAGTTTCAAAATGCAGATTAACTGGATTGAACTGGATTATATGGCAGTACAGACTCATATAATTCAGATCAATGCATTTAATCTGCATTCTGAAAGAGCATTATATGGCAGTGTAGATTCAGCCAGAGACAAACAGACATAGAGGAAATGGATTTTAATAAAAGAGAGAGAGAACTGGTATAATAATTTATCACCCATGCGGTGATAAAAGTTTTGTTTCCCCTAATTTACGCTGGATCTACACTGCCAAATGATGTATTTTGAACTGCATTATATGGGTCTACACACTGACCATATAATTGAAAGGTTTTCATGAGATATGCTGTGGCACCACACATTTTGTTATTACAGTTTATGTATGTGTCCGTATCTGTTGTAGTAGAGTCTGTTAGCAACACTGTAACTGGTAGTAAGAGTGTCAGAAGAGGGAAAAGGAGTGCCCAAGAGTTAGATGAGGAACAATAGAGGAAGAGGATCCGGGAGATACTTATGTCACCCACTGATAAAGATTCCTTCGAAGGGTTTTCTGAGAGTGAAATGAGTGAGGAGGAGGAAGGAGATACAGTGGATGTGAATAGGGGAACTAAGAGGGTTACTCGGGAGCAGGAATCGGATGAGGAGCAACAGAGGAAGAAGATTCGGGATATACTTACTGCTCCCACAGAAGAGGAAGATTTCATGGGTTTCTCTGGGAATGATGGGTCTGGGAGTGATGGGGATGAGGATGAATCACTGGATTGGACCAAGGTGCAAAAGATTCAGGATGTGTGTGCTCAACCAACGTCTAGTGACACATTTGCGGGGTTTTCTGGTGGTGAGGATTGGCAATCAGGAGATACTGTGGAATCTTGGGGAGAGCTAAGTCTTGACAAGAGGTGGAAAAGTTGGAGGGATGGGTGTCGGCGTTCAGGTGTGAAAGCTAAACCAGCTGTAAGTGATGATGATGGGGTGGAGGGCAGCTCATCATCGGATGATGAGTTGTAAGATAAAAGTAGGCACTGAAATTGAAGAACTTTGCAGTAGGCAAAGTGTTGGTTTTGTGCCTTGGGTCTTGTTGCTGCCGCTTTCATGTTGGGCTTGGGTCCTGGATCTGCAGGTTGCTGTTTACCTTCGTGTTACAACTCGGCTTGGATTCTCGTGAGTGCGGATTTCCCCTTTCCTTGACTTTGGACTGCTATTGACAACGACACTGCTGCCTCATGGACTTTGGAACCTCGCAACTTTGGACTTGGCTTTCTTCGACTTCGGACTTCTTATGACTACGGCTCTTTCTACACGGCTCTTTGTTTGATCGTTCTACGTTTGCTGTGTGATTTTGCAGGATTTTGGAAGTACTTCAGTTTATTCCGGATCTTTTTCCTGGATAATCCGGATTATTGTTTTAGTTTGCTTTTCAAGCTAAGAATTGCTGCTACTTTTGAGTTTTGACCAGAGACACTGAAGCAAGTGTCTCTGAGTCTCTTTTCCTTTGTATTAATAAACTATTCTTTTGGACATATTCCTGAGTCTAGCTCTTTAAGGCATCTGGGTTCCGACAGTATCTCTTATAAGGGGTTGGTTTGATCTCTGGTTTGCTTTTAAAACTGAACAATGCAGGTCTAAAAAGTTGAGTCACCAACATGAAAAGTTTGGCAAGTTCTGCCACAAGAAAAGGGTTGAGCAAGCCTTCTAACAAACAATTCTCCACTGAGATACCATAATCTCCATTGCGCTTAGCTGAACATAACTTTAAGGAACCTGTGTTTGCCTGAAATATATTACATCTTTTTCAACTTTATTTCTCAGACTGGACCCACCTGTGATATATGAATAATTTTACTGATCTACATTGTGTAGTTGTAAGAACTAGAAATTTAGATTATAACTCCAAATGTGTCCTAGGCCATATCACAAATTTAGCTCCCCAAAACTGGGGGGTCATACTTCATGTTATCTTAAACTTTATTGTCTGACCCTTCAGGGATTATTAAGGCCAGACAAAAACAAGCCAAAAAATAAAGGGATAGTATTGCTGTTTCCCTTTCTTTCTTTATATTTTCTATGCCTAGTAATTTCCACTTTTGTGTGGATGCATATTTGTTGTTGCTGCTGCTTCTCCTCCTCTTTGTTTTTGCATTGCCAAAAATTATTTGTCATTTTGTGATATTCATTATTCCCGAAACAAAAAAAAAAAAAAAACAAAACAGTTTCTCATCCAAATGAGAAAGTATTGCAGCCTGATTCTATAGTGTGACACCACTTTAACTGACATGGCACAATGCGATGGAATCCTAGGAATTGCAGTTTGTTAAGGCAAAGAAGGCTAAAGACCTTGTAAGGCTGTCAAACTGCATTAATTCTACAATGTAGATGCACCCTGTTTCCCTTTCTATTAGTTATAGCATCCTTGCAATATGTGCTTTTCCCAGAAGCTGCCACAAATATGGAGTGTGGTGGGAGTAAAAGGTTTGTCACTGTAAACATAACCGAACCCTTTACACACAAAACAGATATACTGTATATAACCATAAACGTAATGCTGTCACCTGTTAATATATGTGTGACATAACATAGAGAAGGAAGACATATATATCCATATGTCCTTGTGAGGCAATGAGGCTGGCACAGGGGGAAATTCAATGACTTGTAGTTTTTTCTTGGAACACACTTTTTCTATCTTTTTGGCGCCTTTATTATTATGTGTTTTATATAAGATGTGATCTTTACATGTTTGTGTATATTGCCTTTATTTATTATCCAAACCTGGAGTTAATGTATAGAGTCCAATCCTTCGCTCAGGTTTCTTCAATGTAACCACAAACCGACTTCCAGCCGTGTAGCTTTGATATTTAACACAAAACTCCAATATGTATGTTGAAACAAGAAAATGTTTATTCATGAATTCTTTGGCGCATAAGCTTGTCGGTTACAAAGTACCTTCTACTTAGATATTCTTGCAAATATCTTTCACTTCTTTGAAATACATCAAATTGTTATTGCATAACATTCAAACAGTTAACTTGTTTCTCTCTGTTAGGCCCCTTTCTTCCAATTTAAAATATTTTTCTCCTCAGCCCCCTGGCTGGCTATCTCAAGACTTTTATTCACTCTTTTCAGTCAATACTTTGACTAAAAACCTATTCCCACAGGAATCTATATCTCTCAGTTCTATTTAACTGATACTTTTGACTTATATTGGCCTTTTTCTTTACTTAAATACAACAATGGAACCTACACCTTATAAACAGGTCCTCTTCCCTCCAGCTCAAGGCTAGAGACTAGCTACTTGTCAAAATGTTTCCCTCTATTTTTCTCTAGCTCTGCCTCTTTTCTTCTTGGCCACTCTACAATGGATACATTTCTACTGCAAAGGGCGGAGCCCCCGGTGGCGCAGAGGGGTTAAACCCTTGTGCCGGCAGGACTGAAGACCGACAGGTCGCAGGTTTGAATCCGGGGAGAGGTGGATGAGCTCCCTCTATCAGCTCCAGCTCCTCATGTGGGGACATGATAGGATGATAAAACATCAAATCATCCGGGCGTCCCCTGAGCAACGTCCTTGCAGACGGCCAATTCTCTCACACCAGAAGCGACTAGCAGTTTCTCAGGTTGCTCCTGACATGACAAAAAAAAAAAAACTGCAAAGGGCTACATATCCATGGTAAACCCACAGCCAATCAGATGTAACTCACTTCTAACTGCTCCTACCATATTATCAACCATAATAAATATGACAATATAACTCCATAATAATTAACTTTTCCGTTACAGTCACTTTCACAATAATCACAAAAAAAATGAAGAGAGAGAAAATGAAAAAGTGCTTCACCAAAGAATAGAAAGTAGGCAATGTGGAATTGTAGAACAAGTTATTTACATGTGCTAATGCATATGTCTAGATGACAATTTAAACACAGTAATGCAAAACATCTCATCATACTGAAGCCAGTTCAACACAAAAACATAATGGTGGGGTGGAACCAGTGCTAAAAATGCAATTCCAGCCTGGATTGCAACCTAGGGTGCAGCCACATTAAATTGCTTTCTCTAGATTAATCAGGATCAACCCATGTGCATTTTATACCTGTCCCAAATGGTCAGTGTAGATGTGCCTTGAGTGTAAAACCATATGGAATAACCTAAGGCACACGTTGGAGTTTCCTTGCTATCCTTTCTTGTGGGTCTTATATTATTAACTGGGAAACACATAAGATCTGGCTTCAGTCAATAATTTCCCCTTTGCGAAGTGGATCAAGTGGCCACCTTCCATTGGGATACTAGCAGGATTTTTAGCGTAGTTTGTAATAATTATACAAAAAATGCTAGCCATTAAATAATTTGTAGGAAATAAAATTTGATTCAGTTCTACATGAAACTTGGCTTCTGAATGGTATTTTCCCTCTTTGTTTAAGGTTGAGTGAATTGAAGAGAGTGCTCTGAAAAGCTGTTCCCGCCAATTTCAGATATTGTTGAAGAATGAACACAAAGGATACGAAAGTGACAGAAGGCGGCCTCAACGTCACACTCACTATACGACTTCTTATGCATGGAAAGGTAATTTGGCTCTTATAGGGGTGAGGGGTGAGGGACTGAGTTATATGTTAGGCACAATTATATTTAATTTCACATTGCCAAGTCATGGGAACGGGCACTTTAACATTGTTTAAAGAGAATTGAACAACCTAATAGAGAAGTGACCAACTGTAAACAAAACTACTACACTAGTGCGAAAATTAAGATGAAGGTGGAAGTCAACAAATAGAATCTATATCTATTCATTTTTATTTTCCTTTTATTATCATTATTTTTTCTTTTTTCTTTTCTCTCCTCTCTCTTTTCTCTTTGATTGTTTGCTTTCTTCCCCCACTCTCCAACATATCTTTAACCTATCCTATCACACCTACCTACCCAACCCCGCCCAACTGCCCTACTCTATATCCTTCCAATCCTCTTTCACTTTTAAATATATGTAAGCAAAACTTTAATAAACATATTTTTAAAAAAGATTTAGGGACAGTAGAGAGGGCTGTAATCTATGAAATATTATTCCATAATGTTTGCATTCAGCTTTATGGTGCTCCAAGGCATTCTTGCTATTTTCCTAATCTCTCTTATCTTAGGGTTATACCTCTCCATAGGGTCAGTCAGTATGTTTATCTGAGTCAGCGATAGTGGTTTTCTTAAGGTCTTTGGGTGAGTCCCTGGCAGAAATGGTCTCCTGATTAATAGCTCAGGCTCTTAGCTATTAGGCTAAAATTCACTTGTTAAATTATAATATGTTAATACAAGTATCTTGTCACATAAATTTAGCAAAGGCATATGCACCTATTGCTAATTTAGATATGATTCAGATTTAGATTTACTGATTATTTGGATGTTTGACACTTCAGTGTTTTGATATTTCAGTTACTCGCTTTGCAAGTGCTGTGCTCTTTGTCACAGAGCCGAGTATGTTATGACATTAAAGCAAAGCAATCACTTTGCAAAAGGACTCCCTGCATAGTGATAAAGCCCACTGCCTCAATATTGCTGATCTGGCACCAAGACCATTTGTTGCCTAATCCATCACTTGAATTAGATGTGAGAATCCCTGTGCGGTCTGGCTTTTATCATTAACTAAAGTGTAGCCTTTCTTTTTAATGAGATGCTTATTGAAAGTACTGAGTAATTGAAAATTTTAGGAGGTGCACATTCTTTCACTAGCAGAAAAATGTGTGCTATTATCTTTATTATCTTCTTGAGGCAGATCCCCATCTTCCCAATTTTTTTATATAAAGCACACTTCAATAAAGATAATGAAAATAAAGGGGAGGGGGACAGAATTGCTGGCCCTTCAATAGAAAGAAGGAGGTCACAAATGCTGTCAATATATAAAAGAATTAAGTGGCCGCTGTACTTTGAGCGGCTGCCTTTTATCAGTGGCAAGATAAATCTGCAAAAATCTGCCATACATAATTTAACAAGTTCTTCCTTACTTCAGCAAAGAAACAGGTTATACTAGATGTTAGAATAATTCCCATCTATCCTGTGGTGAATGGACAAAAACTAGTGCACTATGGGAATTATTCCTGAATGCTTTTCCTGTCTCCAGGAGAAGGCAGTGATTTCAAATATTAACTGGTTAGGCATTATTAATACTACCGCTGCTGCTACTACTACTACTACTACTACAGGCCGTCCCCAAGTTACGAACAAGATAGGTTCCGATGGCTTGTTCTTAAGTTATATTTGTTTGTAAGCTGGAACAGGTAGATTTTAAAAGTGTAACACCAGCCTATCTCTGGATAGCATAACATAGGGAAGGATGAATACAAGAGTGAGTTTGTTTTGCTGTTTGTGCTCCTGTTCAGAAGATGTCATCTTACTTTCTGTCCTGGTGATAATTGGATTTTGAAAATGTGGCTTGTTGTGGAAGCAAGGATCGGTGATAAAGCTTAGTGGAGACACCTTTCCCCATGATAACTCTTTCAGAAGTGAATTTCCCTTCCTAGGGGTAGATGTCTCTCACTTCGTGTTGTATTCTTAACTATTAGTCATTTGTAAGTTGGATGTTTTAAAGTCAGGAACTATCTGTATTATTGTTATTATTGTGTTGTCAAAGACTTTCATGGCCAGAATCACAGGGTTGCTGTGAGTTTTCCGGGCTGTATGGCCATGTTCCAGAAGCATTATCTCCTGACATTTCACCCACATCTATGGCAGGCATCCTCAGAGGTTGTGAGGTCTGTTGGAAACTAAGCAAGTGAGGTTTCTCTCCTGACATCTTGCCTGCATCTGTGGCACGCATCCTCAGAGGACTGTTGGAGTTGAGGCAAGTGGGATGTATATATATTATCTGTGGAATGTCCAGGGAAGGAGAAATAACTCTTGTCTGTTTGAGGCCAGTGTGAATGTTGCAATTGGCCACCTTAATTAGCATTGAATGTCCTTGCAATTCAAAGGACAATTTCAACAGAAACCATGAAAACAAACAAAATTTGGCTACCAGTATTTAAAAACTCTAAAATCAGGACAGTAAAAAATGAACAGCATTCAGAAAACTGGGGAATTCCAGACAGGAAACAATCAGGGCTGGCTAACATCTCCCAACAAAGGATTCCCCCAGGCAGGAAGTAGCCAGGCTTTGAAGCAACAAGGCCATTCAGTGCTAATCAAGGTGGTCAATTGCAACATTCACACTTGCCTCAGATTATGTAGATTATGTCTTTTTTTTCTTTCTTGCATTTATTTGCATTTTGTTTTGTTTCAGGAGGTTGGCAGCATCATCGGAAAGGTCAGTAACCCATTTTCTCAAGGGTAAATTAATTTGAGTCAACCTGGTTAAGTCCATGTTTATGGATTCACTAATCAGTGTGAGCTAAAAAATATTTCCTGTTTCTTTTACAGAAAGGTGAAACTGTTAAGAAGATGAGGGAGGAGGTGAGATGTAAATACAGATCACTTTTGACTGAAATTCCTTAGTGTTTTGGACTAAAATTCCTCAGTATTTCAGAAAATATATGACTGATAGTGAAGAGGCTAGGGTACACTTCCATGTGTGAATCATTGCTCCCACCAAGTGGCTACACAGGAGTACTTGCAATGAAGCATAAAGAATAATTTTCTGTGAAATTACAGCCATGTCAGTATCATGTTAGATTTTCAGACATGGATGGTCTAAATTCAAATCCCCTCTCAGCCCAACAGTTCACTGGATTACTTCTATTCAATCTAACGTACTTTACAGGGCTCCAGTAACACTTTTGAGACTAACTGGGAAGAATACATTTGTAGCATATGCGTTCATGGGCACTATGACCACAAATGCTAGTGCTAGAAATTTCTTCTTCCCAGTTAATTTCACATGTCTTTATTATGCTATACAGGCCAAAATGTCTTTTTCTCTTTGAATACTATAATAATAAATATATCTTAAAAAATGGGGAAATTGGCTAATTCTTTGTTTTGTGGAGGAAGTGAAAGACAAATTTGTTAAATAATTCTGAAAACATAAAATGAGGCTTTCTTTGCATTGAATTAATTGTTTCTCAAAGCAATTGACTTACCCATGTCAATGCTTTCTGAATCATTAGTTTTAAAAATATAAAAATATTTCCTCACAAAACTAATACATTTGCATCTGGGCAAATTTATCCAGTTAAGAGAATAGGAGCTGGCATAATTTAATTCCCAGATCTAAAATTGTCATTCTTTTCATTAAAAATGACATCCAAAAGAAAGGATCTCATCTCCCTGTTACTCTGGTGTGCTGTCTGTAAGTGTTTCATTTGATTTGGCTTTGAATGAAGGAGCACTGAATTATATTAGTATCTGGCTGCAATCTCTACTGCTACAGCTCTGTGCAAATATTTCCCTCAAAGCTCACTTTGGGCCAAAATTGCACAGCAATTAACAATGGATCTAAAGTGCTTGCTTCCAAATAAACTACTCTGAAATTACACTTTTATGCACAACCAACTAGTCTTCATTACGGTCTATGGCCAGCCCTATACAAAACATACAACAAGATGAATTAAAATAAATGGACAAGGCAAAGAATAAAACAGATCATACCACCAGGTGGTAGAGGTTGCTGAAATGTATACAGGTTTGTGGAATAGCACATGCAGCTGCGCAAAATTTACATTAAATGTAATGCAAGCATTTCCATCAGAGAAGAAGGAAAGATAAAAAGAATTTTAACATCCTGATAATTTAATTAAGACAGATTCAATAAAGGGTTTCCTAATACTATGTTGCCAGAGACAGTATAGAAGAAGATGGGTCACTAGTCAACGTCCTCTAAGCTGCACTCTATTAAATTTTACAGTGAACAAAACGTGATGACTGCAAGACAATTATGAGGAAAAAATTAAAATGTTAAAGGAAGAAATAAAAGTCAATTTTCAAAAATCTTCCTTCTAGCATAGCGAACGGCAGGTAGAATTTTGTTATTGTGAAGTCCCTTTGATGCTTGTGTACTGAGAGTCCCAAAACACGATTGGTGGGGACAAGGGAGAGGGCCTTCTCGGTGGTGGCCCCCCGACTCTGAAACTCACTTCCCAAGGACATCAGGCATGCCACAACATTGGCAGTCTTTAGGAGGAGCCCGAAAATGTGGCTGTTTCCAGTGTGCCCAGAATAAGGAAAATTCCCAGCAATCTGTCCTCAGAATGCACTTTACTATTGGTTTAGGTTGGACTGCGCTCCCTCATTTCTTTTAAAACCCTATACCAGATATATCCTACCTTGTTCATGCCCAGCATTTATTTATTTTTTAAAATTTTAAACTATTACCTTTGGCCCAGCCATAGGTTTTTAAATCCTTGTGTGTTGTTGTTTATTGGTTATTGTTTACATGTGATTTATATTAATTGCATTGTATTTATTGTTTTTGTTTATTGCTTTTTGTTTTTATTGATGTGTTGTTGGGATTGGCCTCATGTAAGCCACTCCGAGTCCCTTGGGGAGATGGTGGCGGGGTATAAATAAAGTATTATTATTATTATTATTATTATTATAAAACAAAGTTTGCTGGTTTATACACACAGTGTGTTATTTTAATTAGTATAGATTTGTCAGGCCAGAGAGCCAGTGTGGTGTAGTGCTTTGAATGTTAGACCCTAGTCTAACATTCCTCATCACAAAGGTTCATATATTTGCCACAAATTGTGGCAAATCCATGGGCTCCTGACAGGGTGTGTGACAAAGGCATTGCTCCAACTAAGAAAATCCAACGAAAGGGTTACTGAGTCAACGTCCTCTAAGCTGCACTCTATTACTTTTTACAATGAACAGTAAAGGACAAGAGGGATCCTCTCACCTCTGCAGAAGTCTACCACATACCATGCATCTGTGGACAAGTCTACATAGGGACCGCCAAACGCAGCATTTCCCAAACAAAAATCAAGGAACATGAAAGGCACTGCATACCAATTCAACCAGAGAAGTCAGCCATAGCAGAGCACCTGATGAACCAACCTGGACATAGCATATTATTTGAGAACACAGAAAGGCTGGACCACTCTAACAACTACCATGTCAGACTACACAAAAAAATCCACAAGCATGTGGACAATTTCAACAGAAAGGAGGAAACCATGAAAGTAAACAAAACCTGGCTACCAGTATAAAAAAACTCTAAAATTATAACAGTAAATAAAGAACAACACTTAAACACGGGGGAACTCCAGACAAAAAACCATCAGGAACAGCTAATCACCTCTCAACAAAGAATTCCCCCAGGTAGTAACAAGCCACACCTAAAACTGTCAGGCCATCAAATGCTAATCAAGGTGGCCAATTGAAACATTCACACTTCGCTGCAACAGACAAGAGTTCTTGCTCCCACCCTGGACTTTCCACAGATATATAAACCCAATTTTCCTAGTTTCCAACAAGCCTCACAACCCTGAGGATGCCTGCCATAGATGCAGGTGAAACATCAGGAGAGAATGCTTCTAGAACATGGCCATACACCCCAAAAAACCTACAACAACCCACTGTTCAGGCATTTGCGGTTATCTTCTTCTAAGATGAAGTGACTTTCCCAAGTTCACCAGTGGATTTCCATGGCCAAGCAGGGATTTCAAATCTATTGTCTCAAAGTCCTAGGTCAACATATGCACCTATACACAAAGCTGGCTATTTTTGTTCAATACAGTACCATTTAAAAGATAGATTTAGAAAAGAGTTTATCTTTATCCGAATAACACAGTGGTTATATTTGACCTTTATTTTTACTTAGGATTATTTTTTTGTTCAGGTAATGCTCCTACCCCACAGATCTATGTTTGTGATGACAAGCTAGACTCTTGACTGCCTTGTTTTTACAGAGTGGTGCTCGAATTAACATCTCAGAAGGCTCCTGTCCAGAAAGAATTGTGACGATAACAGGCCCAACAGATGCCATTTTCAAGGCTTTTTCTATGATTGCACTAAAATTTGAAGAAGTAAGTACATGGGAATTCCCAAGAAGCTATGCTAAAAATATTTTATTTTCTCATGTTTTTTGAAATGCAGGCATTGTTTTATGCCTTTAAAGAACATAGTTGAAGACACTGTATCATTTGTACTGGAGGGAAATAGGGGATTACTAGAAAGAACTGATATACTCCTTGGAGAAATCAGTTACCTCTAGTATTGTTTGCTTATATTTAATTATTGTTTTTTATTTGAACTGAAAAGAATAACTCCATATCGCATCTAATTTAGATACCATGTGGCTCAGAAAGAGAAACAGTTTTTTTTTTGCCAGCAGTGTATACTCCTTTTTCTTTGCTAAAAATACTTGTGTTCAAAGTGCTTCACATTCATTTTTAAAATTTCAATTAATACAGCTGTCTTGTGGCTCAAACAGTATTATTGTTCTCAAGCAATATTTCCTTCAGTCTCCAATGTTCTAATATTGTAGAGAGCGAAACACTGAAATTCTTCACAAATTCACATTTGATCTTTTTTGGATGAATAAATTGTGTATTTAAATATTAAGTGTATTTAAATATTAAGTTATTGCAATGCTAAAATTTTGTTTTTGTTTTTGTTTTGGTTTTTTTGTCGTGTCAGGAGCGACTTGAGAAACTGCAAGTCGCTTCTGGTGTGAGAGACTTGACCGTCTGCAAGGACGTTGCCCAGGGGACGCCCACCAGGGGCTCCTTAGAATTTTGGTGAAGGCAGGAAAATATCATAAAGGGGCTAGATTTTTTGTTGAGGAGAAAGCTGTAATAAGCTATGCTTCTGCTGCCAGACAGACACCTTTTGGATTGTATGTTATTATAAAGGCCAAATTTTAGCAGGTCTCCAGTGACACACCTTGGCCTGAACTCAGACTGTCCTGAATATCATACCTTGGCCTGAAACTAGACTGATTCCTCTGTCTTGTCTAACACATCAACCCAGAAGAATTGGAACAAATTGTCCCAAACCTGACCAGTTTGTGCACTGGATTGGATCCTTTCACAGACTCTTTAATATCTGTAGCATCAGGTTCTAGGTGAATACAAGCAATTTTTTCCTTAAAGTGCACCGCCAATTTGTCAAAGCAGGTAACTAGTGGTTCCACCTCTGGTCTTTCTGGGTGTGATCTTGGACCTCATCAGATAGCCACTAGGCTCCATTTCCATGCACTTAGAAAATGCAGACTCACGGAGGTCATCATATGATGTAAGGACACTTCTGATGGGACTCCTTGGGGCTCCGTTTCCTAAGTGCATGGAAATGGAGACTAGCAGCCATCTTCAGGAGTTAGGTGTTACCTGACTCCAAGCATCTGAAAGTGGAGGAAAGGTGCAGTAAGTACATGGGATGACTGGCCATCCCAAAAGATGGGAGGGATTGGGATAAGACAGCTACCTCCACTTGCCCCCACTTGTCCCATGTCCCCGTCCGTCCGCCCCCGCCCCCCACTCTATCTGATGAGGTCCCTTTCAAGTTCCACACAATTTAGAATCATTTTGCTAATTGGTAAGTTTAGTATGCATAAGAGGATTTTTTTGCTAACCTCATTGCTGCATAATAAATGAAGAGTCCTTGCTGACATCTCTTGGGATTCAAGGTAGAATGTTTGTTTAAAAGAAAAAGTTTCACTGCCTTACAAATAGTACTTTATTTGTTAACTAACAGCAGAGACAACCCACACATAGCATTCATTATCAGAACTGAGCAATTATCACAAAACACCTTGCATGAAGAACCCGGCGGGGGGAGGGGGGGTGGATCTGAATTGTTCATTGGTTCATCAATCATTTTAATGTAAAGAAATGTTTTATCTCTCAAACTCATCCATCTTAGATATAAACAGTCTTTTATTGCTTCCTTGTTCCATGATTGTCATAGACAAATGTTTTGGGCAAATGGTCTCCTCTAAACCTTGTATGTTTCATGTTGACTTTTATGACATGACCTCAAAGGAGTCATGACATTTTCAACCACATTCACTCTGTGACCTATACTTCTTGCACTTTAGCCACATCCAACCTGTAGATCTTCTGAAAAACAGAGGGAATCACACACTGAAAAATGCCAAACTTCCTGGGAGTGGCCCTTTTTATTTTATCATTCCACAAAAAAATTGTACAGTCATAAAATGAAGGCTAACGATTTAAATGATTCAGTCCTGCAGTAGGTACAAAAAGTAGATATATAAGTTTGGGATGAAAAAACATTGAGTTATTCTGAACAAGCAAACAAGGCAATCTTTTACTGCCTGTGAATTGTCACATCCTAATAGATACATAATGGCATTTCAAGTCCTAATAGCTTCCTACTCTTTCCTACAATAGCCTTTCTGATCTGACTTGTTGGTTGTGAGTAGGAGCATTAAATATAAGTTCAGAGTCATAATGCCCCGGTGGCGCAGTGGTTTAAACTCCTGTGCCTGCAGGACTGAAGGTCGCAGGTTCGAATTCGGAGAGAGACGGATGAGCTCCCTCTATCAACTCCAGCTCCTCATGCAGGGACATAAGAGAAGCCTCCCACAAGGATGATAAAAACATCAAATCATCCGGGCATCCCCTGGGCAACGTCCTTGCAGACAGCCAATTCTCTCACACCAGAAGCGACTTGCAATTTCTCAAGTCACTCCTGACACGACAAATAATAATAATAATAATGAAAATGGAAGGAGACTTTGTTTGTCTACTTGGACCTCTTTGTCTACTTGGACCTCTGGATGGCCATCTGTCAGGGGTGATTTGAATGCAATATTCCTGCTTCTTGGCAGGGGGTTGGATTGGATGGCCCATGAGGTCTCTTCCAACTCTTTGATTCTATGATTCTATGATTCTTTCATGAGAGATGGAGAGTCTCTTGCTGCTCTTCAAAACAACTGTCTGTCCTTCACAAGAAGAATCTGTATTGGATTATGTCAACGCCATACAGAATATGTAGAAAAACCACAGTTTTTCAAAAAAATTCTCTAAGCAGAAGTACAGTATTTTGATACATTCTCTTAAGTTTCAGATACAATGATAAATCCTTACGTAATTCTTGATAATATTGTTGTTACAGGATATCAATGCTTCAATGACAAACAGCACAGTGACAAGCAAACCACCTGTAACACTGAGACTTGTGATTCCTGCAAGCCAGTGTGGGTCCCTTATAGGCAAAGGAGGATCCAAAATTAAAGAAATCAGAGAGGTAAGCCACTAGATCAAAGTGAAAGTTGCTTTCTTCAGTGTGCACTGACTTTCAAGGATTCTACATTTTAAAAAGTTTTAAAAATGTTTCAAAGCAAGCAAATATAGAGTCAGAACAAGAAGAGGAAAGAAGAAGCATACCCTTATGTACAAATACGAGGGGCGTTCATTAAAGATTTCCCCTGACCCACTTCTGTTTAATCACATGATGTTGAAACTTCACATGAGTAATGATATAAGTCTCTAGGTTACGTGCCAATTTACAGCTCAGATCTGATAATGGTCTTGATTTTACAGGTGCTGAAGTAGTGTGAGGTTTGATAATGAACCCAGTGAAATACAGAACAGTCATCAAGTTTCTTTCCTTGAAAGGCCATGCACCAAAGGAGATGATTGATGAGATGAAAGAGACTTATGGTGATGATTCCCCATCATATGATGTAGCATTGTCAATTCAAATGTGATTGGACTTTGGTGCAAACAGCTCCAATTCCAGGGCGACCTTGCTCTGCTTTTGACGAACACACCATCCAGCAAGTGGAGGTCGCAATTTTGGAAAATCACCACATAACCATTCGCCACCTAGCCCAAAATATCAAGATTAGTGTGGAATTTGTGGGGGGGAAAATCACCCAAGACCATCTTCACATGCATAAGGTATCCTCTTGCTTGATTCCCCGGCTGCTTACACCTTTCCAAAAGCAGGAATGAGTCAAATGTTTTCAGGCTATGTTGATGATGTGTCATGGAAACCAAGAAGACGTTTTCAACAGATTGAACAGACAGGATAAAAGCTGGGTGCATCACTATGATCCTGAGACTAAAGTTCGGTTGATGAATTGGAAGCATTATGACTCACTGCCTCCAAAGGAGGCACGTGCCCAACTTTCGATAGGCAAGGTCATGCTCACAGTATTTTGGGCTCAGCACGGAGTAGTATTGATGGATTTCCTAGCAAAAGGTGCCATGATCATTGAGGTATAGTATGCTTCACTGCTGTAGAAATTGTGGGAGGCCATCAAAACCAAGAGGCATGGCATGCTCACCAAAGAGTTCTCCCTTCTCCAAGACAATACACAACTCACATGTTGCCCAAATGGAAGCATGCTCCTGTGGCTTTGAAATTATTCACCCAGCCTTGCACCAACAGACTTCCACCTCTTTCCAACAATGAAGTTGTTTTTGAAGAGCAAGCATTTTTCAGATGATGAGACTCTGATTTCCAAAGTCACAATGTGGCTTTTGGAGCAACCTGTCAACTTCTACAAGTGAGGTGTTTACAGTTGTTTAAAAGATGAAAGAAGTGTGTGTCCCTAGGTGGTACCTATGTAGAGAAGGACTAATAACTGTGCCAAGTTTCATTGCTCTCAGTCCACAGGTCAGGGGGAATTTTTAATGAATGCCCCTCTTAGTACCCTACAGAAAGGTAGACAGGAAGAAATGTCCAGATAATAAACACTTAAGAGTGTTGCTGTCTGATGTAGAGGAGTTTAGTGAGAGAAATAAGGGATGTAAAAAAGGACTTCCAATTTTAGAGCTTGTCTACACCAGGGCTTCTTAAACTTTTTCCACTCATGACCCCCTTCCATCTGAAAATGTTTACATGGCCCCCAGGTATATAGGTGTATAAAATAGGTATAAAAATAAAAATTTACTAATAATAAGTGTAAACATTTGCAAAACTTGCTGAACACTGGCTTTTACTTAGCTTATTCCATCTATTGGAACCACCATGTTTTTAATGTGTTTTAATTAATGTTTTTACCGTTTATTGTTTAATTTGTTTATTTTGGGTTTTGATTCCCTTTATTAACTTATCAGTTATTTTGTATATATTTTGTGTATATTGTTTATCCTTTCAGGGAGATGGGGCAGGATAGAAATAAAGATTATTATTATAACAGAACAGGCTCATTTTACTTTTTATGAATTACAGCTGAAGCATTTTCTTCAGAGTTCACATTAGTCATTGCACATAGAATCATAGTTAGAAGAGATCTTGTGGGCCATCCAGTCCAACCCCCTGCCAAGAAGCAGGAAAATTGCATTCAAAGGACCCCCGACAGATGGCCATCTATCCTCTGTTTAAAAGCCTCCAAAGAAGTAGCCTCCACCACATTCCGAGGCAGAGTTCTACTGCTGAACATAGTCAGGAAGTCTCCTTTCTTGTAGTTTGAAGCCATTGTTCCGCGTCCTAGTCTCCAGGGCAGCAGGAAACAAGCTTGGTCCCTCCTCCTATGACTTCCTCTCAAGTATTTGTAAATGGCTATCATGTCTCCTCTCAGCCATCTCTTCTTCAGGCTAAACATGCCCAGCTCTTTAAGCTTGCCTGGTATTGACATGAGGCTGACCAGACAGTAATTGTTTGCGTCGTCCTTTTTTCCCTTCTTGAAGATAGGGATTGCATTGGCCCTCCTCCAATCTGCTGGAACTTCTCCTGTTCTCCAAGAACTCAAAGATGATTGCCAATGTTCTGAAATGACTTCCGCTAGTTCCTTCAATACTCTTGGGTGTAGTTGTTCTGGCCCTGGGGACTTGAACTCGTTTAGAGCGGCCAGGCATTCCTGGCTGACTTGTTTCCTAATTTGGGTTTGGATGTCCTCTAATCCCTCATCCCTCATTGTTGGTAACAGTTTTGTTAAATGTCTACATAGAGTTCAGAAACCTTTTCCTGTTACCAATATTTTCGCAACCCCACCATTGAGCTAAGGCAGTGGTTCCCAATTTTTTTTAACCAGGGACTACTTTGACCAAAGACCACTTGACTAGAAACCTCTTGATCGGGGACCACTTTGATCAGGGACCACTTTGATCAGGCACCACTTCCCAACATTAATACCAAACGGTTTCTGAATCATTTTTCTGGTCAATTTTAGATTTGGTTTAGTTATTTTGGGTGCTGATTCAGAAAATTGCATTGAATAGACCACATCAGCTCTAGTTTCTGATACAGAACATATGCCATCCAGTAGTCACTATCTGCTCACCCACCGAAAACCATATTTGATAATCAAGAGCTGATGTGGTAGTAATAATCTTTTGTGGGTAGTCAGCCTCTTCCCTTCCAACATCCCCGTTGACTCTGCACTGTAAGAGGGTTTTTCAAGACCTGTCGCTCTCATTACCGCGTGGTTTTGAGGCAACAGTATAGTAACAGAGAGGCCGCAGACCATAATTTTATTCTTTTGGACCACTGGTGGTCCAAGGACCACAGGTTGGGAACCACTGACCCCATTTGGGATAGGGACCCACAGTTTAAGAAACAATGGTGTACACCACTAAAATAGTCCAGCTGCAATTCAGATTATTCAGCTTCAGGGCTGCCCTGGATTCACCCCATTAATGCCACACCTATCTTAATATATCACACTGAAATTGTATTGCTGTCCAGGGTCCACAACCCCAATTTGAATCAGCACGGTTTTTAATTTCCTGTTCCATGAATTGATTTGCCATCACCTCCCTTTCTGCTTGAATTCCACTGCTGCGTTTCCAATCAAACAGCTTCCAGGCAGAGTCTCACTATGGAAGTTTGATGACAGAATTAAATGCCCACCATGCAATCAATGGCGAGAGAAGATAGACAAGTTTGCACTCTTATCATTGATTTCATGGCTAGACAACTTGTTCTCAGCGAGCAACAGTTAAAACAGGCATGAGAGGTAAAAACTGAATGATGTAGACTGTGTAGGGTGTCTATTTTCTACCTTTAAACTTCCAGGAAAACTGAATATATAAATTATTAACAAAATTTCATGCGATTATTTCACACATAATAGCTTCATAAAGAATTTTGAAAGCACAGTAATAAATGTTGTTTGTACTATTGAACATAATGTGCCATCAGTACCAGGGCTCTTATAATTTTGCAAGATTATATGACAAAGATTTCTCCCTCCCATATCGTCTCTTTGTTTGCAAGGTCATTAAGTGGAAGAAAATAGCAATGGCTTGTATTAATTGCAGCTTGCTGCATTCAGATGCATCGGTCACTACTAAGAAATTATTCTTGTTTGAAAACGGTGTTATGGATTACTCAATAATGAAATGATAGAAATTGATTAAATAAGTAAGCTGTTTATAAAATTAAAAACTGTTGATTATATCAAGATCTGAGTCTTCCAATTTCATTGAAAGCCTCTTTGAATCTCTTTTAAAGAGAGAAAAAGCAGGGTATAAATTATTTATTTATTTATTTGTCATGTCAGGGCAACCAGTCAATTGTATTACATTTCTAACAGAACAAAACAAACAAACAGACAAAATACAAAATTTGTATTTGATTAAATAGTAGTTGATTAAATGTCCTTTGATCAGTATCTGGCCACTTGGAGTGCTTCTGGTGTTGCTGCAAGAAGGTCCTCCATTGTGCATGTAGCAGGGTTCAGGGTGCATTGCAGCAGGTGGTCAGTGGTTTGCTCTTCTCCACACTTGCATGTCGTGGATTCCACTTTGTGACCCCATTTCTTGAGGTTGGCTCTGCATCTCATGGTGCCTGAGCGCAGTCTGTTCAGCACCTTCAGGTCACCCAGTCTTCTGTGTGCCCAGGGGGGAGTCTCTCATCTGGTATCACCCATGGATTGAGGTTCTGGGTTTGAGCCTGCCACTTTTGGACTCTCGCTTGCTGAGGTGTTCCAGCGAGTATCTCTATAGATCTTAGAAAACTATTTCTAGATTTAAGTCATTGACGTGCTGGCTGACACCCAAACAGGGGATGAGCTGGAGATGTCTCTGCCTTGGTCCTTTCACTATTGGCTGCTACTTCCCGGCGGATGTCAGGTGGTGCGATACCGGCTAAGCAGTGTAATTTCTCCAGTGGTGTAGGGCGCAGACACCCCGTGATAATGCGGCATGTCTCATTAAGAGCCACATCCACTGTTTTAGTGTGGCGAGATGTGTTCCACACTGGGCATGCGTACTCAGCAGCAGCGTAGCATAGCGCAAGGGCAGATGTCTTCACTGTGCCAGTCAGCTTTCGTATGATATTGTTTCTAGCACCCAATTTTTGCATGATGTTCAGGCAGTGCTTCTTGTAAGTAAGAGCACGGTCCAGAGTGACTCCCAGGTATTTGGGTGCGTTGCAATGCTCCAGTGGAATTCCTTCCCTAGTGATCCTCAGAGCTCGGGATGCTTGTCTGTTCTTGAGATGAAAAGCACATAATAATAATCATCATCATCATCTTTATTTATATACCGCTACATCTCCCCGAGGGGACGCAGAGCGGTTCCCAGGTAACATCACAAAACATCACAAAGTAAAAAACAACATAACCACAACTAATCATAGAATCATAAAGTTGGAAGAGACCTCATGGGCCATCCAGTCCAACCACCTGCCAAGAAGAAGGAAAATTGCATTCAAAGCACCCCCGACAGATTCAGCCTCTGTTTAAAAGCTTCCAAAGAAGGAGCCTCCATTCATCATTCATCAAACTGACTGCCATCCTAAATATTTCCCATGGATGAATCCTATGAAATACACTGATGGAGAGTCACATCTCCCCTCTATGTATCCCCAAATTACAAGAGCTTGGGAAAAATCTAAGTAGAAAGAAACAATGTTATCTTTTTAAAGTTCTAGATATAGACTAATGTAATTTTGCTTTATTTATTTACGGCATTTGTAGCCTGCCTTTCTCAGCCTTGCGGTGACTTGCAGCTTTAGATTCCATAATTAGTTTATTTGAGCTAGATCACATCTTCTAATATTTGACTTGTAAATACGGTACTTTTTTATCACAGTGCAAATTACAATGCATACTATTATGCAATACAATGCATACTAATTTGTGAGTTCCTATATCTTGATGTAGTCAGTAAGCAGTCTGAATTATGCAATGGAATTTATATGTATTGTAACACCTTTCTTTGTCTTTCAGTCGACAGGGGCCCAAGTACAAGTAGCAGGAGATATGTTACCAAACTCCACAGAACGTGCTGTGACCATATCGGGCACTCCTGATGCTATTATTCAGTGTGTAAAACAAATCTGCGTGGTCATGCTTGAGGTAAGAAATATTTTCAGATTATTGCCAAATAATATGATGATCAAGGTTGGTTACAGGTTGTCTCTCAGATTCCCTGACATTGGATGAGGCGGCCTGCACTCTGGAAGGAATCACCTTGATATTTTAGTTTTAACAATTACTATTTTATTTGCATTCTTAATTGTTATTTATTTATTTACAGTATTTGTATACCACTTTTCTCACCCCGAGGGGGACTCAAAGCGGTTTACATAAGTAATAGCAAAAATTCAATGCCAGTACAAACAATTACAATTATACACTACAATTAGACATAAATCAAATTAAACAATATATCCATGAGCAATAAAACAATCATTAAAACAATAAAACAGCCTCGTCCGTCGAATTGCCGTTCCAGTCATTGTCTTTCCAAAATGCGGCATACATTTACTTCTACTACCTGAAGGTCCCAAAACCATGATTTTATTTTTTTTCTAAAAGCCAGGAGGAAGGGAGAGGATCTTACCTCATTTGGGAATGTGTTCCATAGGCTCATGTCATTTCTAACTTGCGCAATCCCAGGGCGAGCCTATCACAAGGTGAATACTTATACCAATTGCAAAATGCTAAAATATGACTGATCTGGCATATTGGGTGAGTGGTCTGAAAATCACCAAACTAATGATAGCCTAGCAATATAAGTATTTTGTGAAAATCATATTGACCAGTGGCTTCTGACAGAAAAAAATGTCCTGGGACTTAAAATTGTCAGGAAGCATGGCTTCTTTTTTGTCACAAGCATGATGTATTTTTTACAGCACTAGAAACTGCTAATCATAGAAAGATAACATAAAAGCATAGCCACCAGTCTTAATCCCGAATAGGTCTTTATCTTTACCATGTGTTGTTCCACTTGCTCTCAGTAATATTAGCAAGGTATCTACTACAGATTTAAATGGTTTCTATTTCTGGATTGAGATTCCAAGAGTATCACTAATTGTACTTTTATGTATCTCATAATTATTTGTTGGAATTATATCATTTAAAATCATTAGCAAGCAGGGTGGGCTTAGGATCTTATCACATGAAACTGGAGGAAAGCAGAGGGAATCATTTTCTTTCATTCCCTACTGCCAGGTACCATACCTGTGTTTAGGAATGACATCCATCCCACATCCTTTTCCCACTTCTACCTGTCTTCTCTCAGGTTTCTTCCTTTGGAAGTTGGGTAGCAACCAACTTCTGAAAGCACAATCTTTCCTCCATTTCTCTGTGCTACCGCAATGGAATCCCATGGGCAACTACCAGAAGTGCTCTTGTGTCATGTGATGGCCACCGTAGTGCTCTATTTCGGCAGCACAGAGAAATGGAGAGAAGACTGCATCTGTCAATTAGAATTTTATTAATTTTTATATAGATTACAACAAAAGAGTGAGAACAATAAAGTATAGGAAAGTGAGTAAATGAAGGGGAAAAATAGAAAAAAGAAGAAGCAAAAAAGTATATTAAAATCCCAAATAGCCCCTAAAGAAATTAACTACAAAAAAACACAAAAAAGAAAAACAAACAAAAAATGACTTCCATTCCATCTTCTTGGATCATATCTTCTTATTATTCAAAAATAAGTTGTCTCTCTTGTTTCTTATTTTCCCAAATTGTCCAGATATTCATGGAGATTATCCCAATTCGTTCTTCTTAGTATCATACCTGTATTTTTCTTCAACAAAAAAGTCAATTCATCCATGTCCTTTATTTCTCTGATTTTTTCCACCCATTCCTGTACGGGTGGTACTGAGTCATTCTTCCATTCTCTAGCAAAAACAATTCTAGCGGCAGTCGTCATATATGTAAAAAGTTTATCCTCTTGTTCCGTCAGTTGTAGATCTAAATCTGTAAAACCTAACAAATAATACTCCGGTTTTCTTATGAATGTTCTTTTTAAAATCTTTAGTGTCTCTTCATGAATTACCCTCCAAAACTTTACTGCTTCTTTACAAGTCCACCACATATGGTAGAAGGAGCAAGAGAAAACTGCATCTGATGTGGTATTTAGTCTGCAGCTGAATTGCAACGAGAGGGACAAAGAATTAAACTTCTCTCTCCCAAAATCTGCATCCAAATTAGAATGAAAGTATTTACATATTCGTTAAAAAAAAACCTTCACACAGTGGTTAATTATGTGCATGACATAATATCTGGTTTGGCTCTTAGGTTTCATTTCAGAAAAGCTATTCCTAATAACCTTCCAAAGCACTTTGTAGAGAAATGTTTCAAAGGGAATATGAAATTCAACTCACCCAAGCCCACCATTAGTAAAAGGGAAATTTTGATCATATATTGTAGATCTTATATAATAATATCTATGCATTCTGTGTGCCGTCACACCCAGACACTATAAAGTTAAAACTAAGATGTGCTTCTCTCTTTATCCGGGTGAACTGCGGGTGCCTTACTTAGAAGCTTAGGATTCTCAGCAACTGAGGCCACTTCAGGTTTGAACATCAAACAGAACATTTATTTCTCAAAGTCCTTGACAGATTTGGCACAGCTTGTTGAAGTTACAAACACAAACAGTCAACTTGTGAAATTATATAGATGTTCCTTCCTTCCTTTTTTCTTCAGCTGCTGAGTTAACTTTCCCCAACAGTAGAAAAATCCTGGGATTCTTTACCCTAACCCTGAGCTGCTATTTTTAGAAAGAGCAGGTCTTTCCCTATCTAAGCTCAAGGTTAGTTTGGGGATGAAGTAATAGAGCCTCTCCCAATGGCAGAGAAATCCTGAGATATTCTCTGCCCCAGCGCTGAGCTGCTATCTTTAGAAAGAGCAAGTCTTCCCCTATCTAAGCTCAGCACCAGTTTCAAAGGCAAGAAGGTAAGTACTCACGATGGCCTGCCTGAGCTGCCTAGCTTGACCACAAGCACATATTAGGCTTTTTTTAAACTGAAGAAAGCAGGAGAGTTTCTCCAAAATGGAGATCTCATCCCCAGGAAAAAGGGCGGTCTCTGGACAAAAGAGATACTTTTTAAAGCCAATAACAGCAAAAGGCTTTGCAGGCTGGCTTTAAGCCCCTGTTAATGGTTAACTTTCAGGGTGCTGCTGAGACTGTAGCAACCCTGGGGAAAATGCAAAAGGATGCTATTTCATGCAACTAAGGAGCAATGCAAACCAAGCTCCTGGAAGACGGAACATTCCGTTTATCAGTGTGTGAGATATCTAAACCTTCTGAGTGTTTATAATATTTACTGCATCTTGTCAGAAGCAATGGTCTGAACAGTAAGCTTGCTGAGTTACCTTGAGGGAGTCACTGGTCTGATCTCTAAACATCTCTCCCAGTGGCAAATGGGTTATTACACTGCAATGGCACCAGAGGTACTGAAGTGAACATATACTGAAGAAACTCCTGGAACGGAACAGTGACTCTGCTGAGCTGCAAGAAATGGGAATTTTCTTCAGAGAACTCAGCAATGGCAGCAACCTCCCATTTCCTGCTGGGAGGAATGTCTGGAAAAAACAAAGTTTCAGCTCTTTCCCGGGGTTTTACATTTTGCTAGTACTAAGGGAGATAAAAGAAGTGACAAAATCTTGCTGCTGCCTGTGCCCTCCTCCAGGCATCCTGATTAAACCAAGAGGAAAATCTAAATGGAGCTGAGTACCAAATTCTTCAGGATCAGCTCCCTGTGTCAGATTTCTGATGTTTGTGTAGGGGAATGCAATTGGAAGAGGTATAATTCAGAGACACAAAAGATAAGAAAGAAAGTTGGAGAACCATGACTGAGTGTAGGAAGATGGGACAAAATACACTGAGGGATAAGGAATAAAGAAAATAACAGATTGTGTGATGAAAGTTGCAGTAGAAAAGGGGAAGTCATAGAACTTCTTCTCGCAGTTTTATGCAAAGGCAGGAGGAAGCAGTAGGATGCTGACAACAAACATGCAACCAGAGGGAGAAATAAGCAGCACAATCACAATGAGAGACATTGGAATTTCATAGTGGTACAAATACATGAATTAGGTCTCCGATCAGCCAGATACTACATCCCAGATCTTTTGTCATTCATAAACATTCTCCGTAGGTTCATGTTGTATCATCATGTCTGACTCCAAAGACAGGATAAAGCATTAAGAATCAATCAATAAGTCATGGTTTGAATGCCTTATTGTAATATTTCTGTTGCTGTCTATGTTGTAGCAATAATTTCAACCCACTATATTTGACTTATGTGATATATTTTTTCCTCTTCCTTATTGCTTTCTGTTTTCATTCTCAGTCTCCACCAAAAGGTGCCACAATTCCCTACCGCCCTAAACCTGCCTCTGCACCCATAATTTTTGCAGGTGGCCAGGTAAGAGCAGACACCCTTTTGGCTTCAGCTGGAAACCACGCCGTCTTGGCCCAACCTCAGACTGCACCTGTTAGTTTCCAACTTTAACTTCTTTTCTGTCTGGTATAGTATTGATTGTTTACTAGTAATGTGAATATAACAAATGCCATTTTTGTACAATGTGTACCAAATTAAGCCTGTCCACCTCTGATCCTTTTAAGCATCCACTTCCCCACCATGTATTTGTTCCCACAAGCCACCCTCCCTTTGGAATTGATAGGAGGCAGATGGGAAACAATTTGTCTCATGAAGCTCACTGGGGGAGTAAAATATAAACCAGATTGCCTTGTGTGTAAATTGCCCTTTTGAGAGGACTAGCTGTCAGCAATTCTTAGATGAGACTGCGGGTTTGGACCCCTTTTCAATCAGGTTTTCGTTCAGGTCATGGGACAGAGACTGTCTTGGTAGCTATTACAGATGAATTTCATCATCAATTAGACCGAGGCGGATCAGCACTATTGGTACTCTTGGACCTCACAGCTGCATTCGACACAGTGGACCATTACTTGCTGATTCATCGATTGGCTATGTCTGGTGTACGGGGTTTAGCCCTTAAATGGTTCAGTTTGTTCCTCTGGGACCGGAGACAGAGGGTGGAGTGGCTAGGCCAAAGCTCTGAGAGCTCCTGCCTTTGCTGTGGAGTTCCCCAGGGTGCTATCCTCTCACCCCTGTTATTTAACATCTACGTCCGGCCACTTGCTGGACTGGTGCGGAGCTTTGGCATAGAGTGCTACCAGTATGCAGATGATACCCAGCTACTCTTGCGTCTTGAATCTGGGACAACCACGATTCCTGAGAACTTTAGGCTGTGTTTGGAAGCAGTGATGCGAGCGAGCAGACTAAAAGTGAATCCTGCAAAAACTGAGATACTCTGGCCCGGCTAGCCGCCAGAATTAATCCAGTCTCTGCCAGATTTCGATGGGGAAATTCTGGTTCTGTCTTCCACTCTTAAAAGCCTTGGGGTTGTGTTGGACTCATAGCTGACGATGGAGGCCCAGATCACTGCCATAAGTAAGCAGGCCTTTTTTCATCTTTGCCAGGCAAGGAAATTGGCATCCTACCTTTCGGTAGAAGCATTGGCAGCGGTAATCCACGCAACAGTCACCACTAGGTTGGACTATTGCAATGCCTTATATGCCGACCTTCCGAAGTCAACAACTCAGAAGATTCGGATGGTCCAAAATGCGGCGGCCAGGCTGCTAGCGGGATCATCTATAAGAACCCATATTACACCGATTCTACAACAACTGCATTGGCTACCAATAGAACATAGGATCTCTTACAAGATACTGATCCTGACATTTAGAGCTCAAAATGGCCAAGGACCTTTATATCTTAGGGACCGCCTCATTCCTTTTTCCCATCAGTGGCTACCTCGATTCACCCAAGAAAATCTCCTATACATACCAGGCCCTAGGGAGGTACACCTGGAAGCAACAAGGCATAGAGCTTTTTTGACCTATGCTCCAATTCTGTGGAACTTATTGCCTCCATACATTAGAGCAATGTCGGAGTTGTGACCTTTTGTAAAGGTGCTCAAGACTTGGCTGTTTGTGCATTTAAGTAAAGTGATCAGATCTAATTTGCCAAATAGTCACTGTTGTGTTTTTATGTTGAATGTTTTTATATTGTGTAAATGCTATTTTAAATTGTAAGTCGCTCGGAGCACCTTGGTGGAGAGCGACTAATTAAGAAATAAAGTGAAGTGAAGTGACGATATCCATATGAATAGTTTCCGGCAAATATTAAAGTAGATGCAGTTCTCAAAAACTACTTTTCTTGTTATATATGTGTTGTTAAATTTGGAAAACAAAACTTATGTGTTTTATTCAAGGAAGGATGCTTCTCATTAGTTTGATTACATTGTGCACATTGTCTCAAAGATTTTAAAGGTTTTTCTCCCCCATTAAAACTAATGTCAGCAATTGCTGTCAGAGTTATGTAGTGCATGCTCATGTTCATGCTGAACCTAGCATCCTGCCAGTACCACAATGTTTTTAGAGGAAATCTAGTGCAGTCTTGTTCTTATAGTTAAGGAATGGGAGCTCACATGGTCAGACTGTACTGACTGGGACCATAGTGTTGTAAGGAGAGGGAGTTCCTAGGTCTGTACTTTCCTCCTTCTGTCAAACTGCATCACCATTTTTTTTCTTAGAATTTTCTGTGGGTTTTGCTCTAGGAATCCAACAGAGTCTGGGCTATTCCATCAGAATGCTAGGATAGATAATAACTTCTAATGATCCTGAGCACTTATCAGTAGTAGTATAATTAATTAATATTCATATTATTATTATTCAGTTTATTTATATCTGTCCTTTCCACACAGAACTGGGGCTCAAAGTAGTTTATGAACTAAAACAGATGTAATACAGATAAAAGCAGATCATTGCTTAAAATTTAATTGAACTATGAATAGCATTTAACAAGTTTAAACTACATTAAAAACAAAAAAAACCCAGCTTTAAAGCAACATATCTTATTAAGTCCTAATAGGCTTTGCAAATAGTGAAGAGGCCTAGATTTGGTATATTCATTTTGTAAGCCTGGGACGAGGACTCTAGCCGGAAAAAAAATGTGTGTGTGTGGGGGGGGGGGGGGGGGGGGTGAATCATGAGAAGTAGTTCCATAACACAAAATAATTTGAATAGTATGATTCATTCTATATTTCATATAGACTTAATTAAATCAATTTTCTCACCTCCTTCATGGGAGACTTCAAATCCCTCCCATGCCTTAGGCTTTGCCTACCAGTTGTGGATGGGCCAATTTGGTTACTTCCACTAGATCAGCTATTGCTGCAAGGAATGACTGTGAATAAATTGTCAAAATTTGCTGAGATAGTTCTTGCAGTTCTGGAGGGACTTGTTTAATTTTTGCTTCCCATAGACTTAGCAGCAGGGGGATTTGGTTAACCAGTTAAAATTCATGAGCAAACCAGGTTTTTTTAAAAAAAACTGAAAAATTTTGGAGATGGGGCTGGACCCCTGTTATAAATAACTTTCCTACATTGGAAAAGAATATCCCACTTCTGTCACCAATTATGTCATGAATGACTTTTCAATCACTTTGAAGCATGTGTTCTTTTTATTGCAATTTCCAGTGTGAGAAGCTATATCAGATTACAGAAAACATTTAGACAAAGAATGACATTGGACATACAGACATACAGATTCTATGCAACTACATTGGATATACAATTACATTGGTTAGCAAACAAACAAAGGGGAATTACATTTTCACTCAACATTCACACACATGTACACGCATTCATCCACATGCATCCAAATATTACCATATCATTTTCTCCCTCCTTGGAGAAGCTCCTGATAGGCCAGACCTTGCTTTCCTGCAGCCTGCCAACATGTAGTTCCATAACTTCCATAACGCCATAACTTCAGAACGTTGAAATGCCAAAACTTCTTCCCTAAGAACAATGCCAAGGACCAGATCTCCGTTTTCCATACAGCAGAACCTGACTCGCTGCACAAAATCTAAGACTCCAAAAGCGCACTTCTTCCTCTTCCCTTGAGAAAGAAGCCCCAAAGAGACCAGACTGTTCCTGTGCAAATCTGCCACTATCCATAGGTACACTATCTCTCTCCTTCCCATGGAGCAAAGCATAGCAAGTGATCCAGACTCGTCAGGTCGGTCACAATTTGAGCATTATTAGACTGAGTCTTTTACAGGAATATTCTGTTGATGTAGTCTCAAAGTTGGAATTAATGATAGACGTCTTCCATCCTGGCTCCACCTCAGTTTCCTGGCCAGATGTTGACTCTTCTTGATTGGTGTTGACAAGCACAAGGCTTGTGTTGACTTCCTTCTTAACATAAAGAATGTTGCAAACATTTCTGTTATCCCTGTCCCAGTTCTTATCAGAGTTTCTCATTAGCAAGTCCAGCAAGCAGTCATTGCAGGCCTTAATATTATACTGGTGTTTCCAAAATTATTAACTCTAACCACACATCCTTCCATTCTTCCATTCATCCCCACACATCATATTAAATTCATACTTGTCAAATCTGCACATTGAATTTCTTGTGACACCCTACCCGGGCCCCCTTGGCTACAGCCCTGCCTGGGATCCATTCTACCTTATGATTCAGGAGAAAAGAGGGACAACTGGAGTTGCCTGGTTCATCAGTGGTTATGCACTCACACATAGCACACCACTTGGTGCAAAAAAGGCTTATATTCTACAGACTGAAATTCCACACACAGAATTGTATCCCTTTTTCTTCCAAAATATTTACTATAGTGTATCTTTGTGGTCAGAAACCCTCCGGGCAAATTGTAAACAAGCTCACTATGTGACCTTTGTGTTTGTTAAAGCATCAGTTTTAGATTCTAGTTTCATTGCTTTGTAGAACTTTACCATGACAGAAGTTGTTTTAGGAGAATCATGTGATAACATCTTGAAAGATCAGATAAATATAACCCACAATAATATGAATACAAACAGTGTGCTTTGGATCATTAAATATACACAAAATATTGCTATTCAATCCAAATGTTTTATGCTTGAATTTGTTAGTACCAGAACAAGCAAACAAATAGGTTCTTGTGGGTTTTTTCGGGCTATAGAGCCATGTTCTAGAGGCATTTCTCCTGACGTTTCGCCTGCATCTATGGTAAGCATCCTCAGAGGTAGTGAGGTCTGTTGGAATTAGGACAATGGGTTTATATATCTGTGGAATGGCTGGGGTGGGGCAAGGAGCTCTCCCTGCTGCATTTAGGTGTGAATGTTTCAACTGATCACCTTCATTAGCATTTGAAGGCCCTGCCTGAGCCTGGGAAAATCTCTTGCTGGGAGGTGTTAATCTGTGCCTGGTTGTTTCCTCTCTGTTGTTTTGCTGTTGTGATTTTAGAGTTTTTTAATACTGGTAGCCAGATTTTGTTCATTTTCATGGTCTCTTCCTTTCTGTTGAAATTGTCCACATGCTTGTGGATTTCAATGGCTTCTCTGTGTAGTCTGACATGGTGGTTGTGAGAGTGGTCCAGCATTTCTGTGTTCTCAAATAATATGCTGTGTCCAGGTTGGTTCATGAGGTGCTCTGCTATGGCTGACTTCTCTGGTTGAAGTAGTCTGCAGTGCCTTTCATGTTCCTTGATGCGTGTCTGGCTCTAAAATCACAACAGCAAAACAACAGAGAGGAAACAACCAGGCACCCCAGCCATTCCACAGATATATAAACCCATTGTCCTAATTCCAACAGACCTCACAACCTCTGAGGATGATTATGGAATGCATGGAGATGTATTTTTCCATGTTCTTTAGTCTTCTCTGTCAAAGACTGTTGGTGCCTCACCAACCTACAAACCCCAGGATTCTGTAAATTCGAGCCATGGCAGTTAAAGTGGTGTCAAACTATATTAATTTGACAGTGATGCTCCTCAGTTTCCTGCTTGCTTAGCAAACATTTTTTTGAGATAGAATGACCTTCTAGGAACAGATTGTGGGTTCTGCCATTCAAAGCAAAATGTCAAAAATCCTAGTGGATATTCCTAAAAGCTGAGCAAGACAAGCTGTGTTTTATAACTTGTGCTACTTAGAGAGTGAATTCTGTACCTGTGATCTAAAAACAGGCACTCTAATATGATGAGAAAATATCACCTATTTTGAAACATGACTGTTGAGAATCTTTCATCTGTCTGTTGTTTTTAGGCATTCACAATTCAGGGGCAGTATGCCATCCCACATCCAGACGTGAGTTCAATGCATGTCCTTTATTTCCTATACTCTCTTCTCCCTTCTGTTTGCTCTGGGCAGCATCTACTTTCTCAGTATTTGAATATCAAAGGAACATCCACAGATACCCCTCTTTAAAGAAATAACATTTAGCCAAACATTTGGAATAACCGATGGCTTTGTATGACAGTTACTGGAAAGTACAGTGGCCCAGATACAAATGACTCCACCCCATCCCCTCTTTTATGCATGTTTTCTATTTAAGTTTTTGAAATGTAATTATCTAGAACTGTAGTTAAAGATATTAACAGTAGCAGTTTACATATAAAGTACCACCATCATTTTAACTTGTTTATTCTGTGTTGTAGACTAGAGTGAATGATTTGTAGCCTTTTAAATATAATTTTAATTAATCCAGTTTTGAAACATGTTAAGATAGTTTTCTCTACTTCTGAAATAATTCCATTTGATTGGATAGTTCTAATTTCCCATCCTACCCTGCAGTTGACCAAGCTTCACCAGTTGGCTATGCAGCATCCCCCCTTTACTCCCCTTGGGCAGACCACCCCTGGTTTCCCTGGTACGTACCCATGACTCCCTGGGGATGTCCTTCTTCTTAACAGCTCTGTTTCCCATGGTCATTGCGACATTTGGATCACTAAATGTGGTAAATGGCCAGTGCTCCTTTTGTTTTTACACATTCATCTTTGTTGTCAGCCTCTTTCCCCCTCCTATGGCTTTCTCTGTAAGGTTTCTTTTGAGATCACTCAACTGTTTTGCTTTGTTTGGGTTTTTTCTTCTTCTGCTCCTCAGTTTTACCACCAGCTTCTTTTGTCAGCACCAAACGTTATTATGCACCACAGAGGATGTGCCACGTGTCTTAGATTTGTAATGGTCACGTTGTATATTTGATTTCTAAATGAGACCCACAGCGACTACTGTGTGGTATATTTTACAAAACTGTAGAACTGGGGGGAAATAACTTTTTGTGTCCAGATTCAAGTTTTGATCGAATTTCTATATATTAACTCAATATATTGATTAAATCAATATGTAGAGTATATTGATTAAAACCCCTTCATGTTCTTGTCAATCATTGTGAGAGATTGAGAACAGTTTAAGCCAATAAATGAGTATTTTTGCATCACTTGATGCACAATAGTCTGGTTCCAGGTATAATCATGCTTAGAATAAAATCATTGCATTTAAGTTAGACATAACTCAGGGTACATCTACATTGTAGAAATAATGCAGTTTGACAGCACTCTTACTGCCATGACTCAGTGCTATGGAAACATGAGAATTTGTAGCCTTCTCTGCCAAATACAGATCCTAGGATTCCATAGCTTCGAACCATTAATTCTACAGTGTAGATGCGGCCCAAGTTAAGTCCCATTGGTTACAATGGTTCTTCTTTAAGTGCCATTTGTCTGGATTGAACATAGCCAAATTTGTTTTAATGGAACTTCAGATCAGGGATTCTTCGGAAGGCCAGCTCTGCACACTGGTACATACTTTGCATGGCAAGTAATAACATTTTTATCACATACATCAAAAAATGCCAGAAACTAAATTGTGTGCATAATAGTCATCAAATCCATTTACACAAAATTCACAGACTTTGAAAAACATTTTCCAACTTATTGATAATTACTCGTGATTTAATTTAAACAAATATGCTGATTATACAAAACCAAAAAAACAAGCCTTTGAAGCTCTGTTAAAAACCTGCAGATGGAAAAAGCAAAATGGCATTGCTATAGGGTGTATCTGATAAAAAATATTCTATAAGAATTATTACATTATCTTTTCCTTAGGTTTTTTTTTCATTTTAATGCTGCTCCTGAATCTGCTCCTTGTACTACTGTTGACTGTGTGTAACTGTAATTTGGACTGTGAACACATTAATTGCATTTCCTAAGCAAATTTACTCTTAACAAATTGCAGCCTTAATGTATATTGTACTACCTTCCCCTTTAAAGCACCCTTCCTTCCCAAACCCTGCAAACTGACTAATCTCCTATATAATTTGCTTAGAGTCTGTCCATAGTATTAAATTGTTCCGCAATGTTATACTGTTGACTATTTTTAAACATTTTTTAAATGGCAGATCAAATTTGAGTCACTTGTTCGTTTTTTCTCAACAAAGGGTTGGATTTCAGAATGTATTCCTAAGTGAAATTGGCCATTATCTAGCTACTTTTTGAAAACATAATATGTAGATACTGTGTTGCTATGTTGTTGAGGTTAAATACAGGACTATGAAAGCTCTGGTTCTCTCAAAGTTCTTGGATTGTGCCACTCTTCTTTTTCGTTGAGTTCCTTGTGCAAATATATATATATTCGTTCCTTTTAAAAAATGGACTTTTTTCTATCTCAAAATAACAGTCATAAAGGGTATTACCCTTTCTTATTCTCCAAATCTAGGATTAGATGCCAGTAATCCAGCCAGCTCCCACGAGCTCACAATTCCAAATGATGTAAGTAAATTGGGTTGAAAAACGATGCTTTCTCTTGTTCTCTTCAACTCTTTTCTGTGCATGAAGTGTAAGATTCCTGGTCTGTTCATATCTATTGCAATTTTCAGAGTTGATACAACATCGTGGCTCAGCAAGCACTAAATTAATTGGGCTCTTGGGCTCTTTCCTCCATCCCTCTTCTGCCTTGGCCCTTTTCTCAGCATGTGAATATGGTGGCCTGCTGCATCCCCAGTCCTAGAGGAGGGCCGGGGGGGGGGGGAGATACGCAGCTGCTGAGAGCTCCCCAGAGCTCCTTCTCCTTTTAGCCTGGGGGACAGGGCAGGTTGCCATGTCCCCAGGCTGAGATAAAAACTAGGGCATGAGCACACCGCTGTGAAACACTACCCCCATGTCAACCCCCCACACGCCAATCATGCCACTGCCCTGTGCTAAAGAGCTCCTGCGCCAACTGTCCCATGCCAAACACTCTTCTGCCCTGTGCCATTCGCCAACCACGCCCTGTACCAAACACGCCACAACTAAACTCACCATGTGTCAAATGTGCCAAATGCCAATCTGTGCCAACAGGCCCCATGACAACCATGTTGCCAAACATGCCACCCCGTGCCAAATACACCAAACACTGCCTCGCACCAACACCCTGTGCCAAACCTGCTGCTGTGAACGCGGAAAATGCCACCCCACATGATGCCACCCCATCCATGGGCCAAATGCGCTGCCGCAATGCCCCCTGCACCAAATGGCACCTCACGACAAACACCCACCACCACCCCTGCACAAATGCACCACCCACCCTCCAAACACCCCTGTGCCATCCCTCCCATATCAAATGCGGTCCACCCTGGCCTCACCCTTCACACCAACTGCCCTCGGCCTCCCCCGCCCCCTCCCTCTTAGCCTGGTCCCAACTAGCCCACCAACCTAGCCCACAACGCGGTCCCCACCACAAAAGTTTGCCCATGCCTGGACTAATTCATAACAATGTAAACAGTACTCCAAAAAAAAAAAACCAAGAAAAAGGGACTGTATGTACATAACATACAGTTATCCCTTTGTATTCATGGATCATGCATCCATAGATTCCACCATCCATGGCTTGAAAATATTCACCAAAAAGCCCCCTAAACATCACCAAAAGCAAATCATGATTTTGCTATTACACAAGAGACACAATTTTACTCCATCATTGTGTATAAAGAGACTGGAATATCCACATATTTTGTAATCCACATTGATTCAAATTTCAGGAAAAAAGATTCCACCTAAACATTAGAAAGAGCTTTCTGCCAATAAAAGCTGTTGAGCAGTGGAGTATTTCACCTCAGAAGGTGGCGGAGTCTCCTTTTCTGGAGGTTTTAAAGCAGGGATTGGATGGCCATCAGTCCAGATGCTTTGAGTCTGTGTTCTTGCATGGCAGGAGTTGGACTGGATAACCCTTGTGGTTTCTTCCACCTCTATGATTCTATGAGTCCATGGTTCTGGAACCAAACCCTGAAGAATACCAAAATCCTACTGTATTATTCTATTGACCAAGGCAGGCAAATGGTCAGGCATGAAAAAGTAGAATTGCCTGCATATCCATCATAAATCTCTCATTTCCTACATGACCATTTTTGCTTTTGCTCTTCACTTCTCCTCTGTGTTTGTTCTGCTCTAGCTAATAGGTTGCATCATTGGTAGACAAGGCAGTAAAATAAATGAAATCAGGCAAATGTCGGGAGCGCAGATCAAGATTGCAAACGCCACAGAAGGATCAGCAGAACGGCAAGTAACAATTACAGGATCACCTGCCAATATCAGCCTAGCACAGTACCTTATTAATGCAAGGTAAGTTCACTTTTTAATAAATAAGTTTCCCTTTTCTCGAAGCCCAGTGTTGTTCAGGGAAACAGTGAATTAACCTGAATAGTTTTCAATAATACAAACTCTAATACAAGTAGTCTGCTCCATACATGTAATGTTTGAGATGCCAAAGTAATACTGTTCCAAATTGCATAGAAAGCAATATCTTTTGCAAATAAGCTGTTTCCTGTTAGTTTTGCTGACCAAATAGCAGCTATAATGAAGCAGATTATAATAATGATTTAATTTCTAGCTGCAAATTTTGTCTGTAGTATGGGATTACAGGTATTTGACTCTTGAAGAGAGTGTTATTTTTGGTTTTGGTTTTTAAAATAGCTACAAGAAGAAAGGATGCCAGTGAAACTGGGCAGAATAGTCTCCTTCCCAGGGCACTGATTTTTTCTTTAAATGTGTGGTGATCCTTTATCCTTACTTTTCATTCCAATTTTATTCAAAAATGCTAAATTTTATGTTTTAGCCAGAACTTTATAAACACTGAAAGAAAACTCAATGAAGGTAACGCCACTCAAATCTTCTACTACATTATGCCCATTTATTCAATGGTAATACATAGTCTTTTTGAAAACCCCAAACCTGAAGCTTCCATATCCAATATAGTGAAACCTTGACTTAGGAGCGCATCAATTTACAAGTTATTCGAGGTATGAGCTGTCACTCCTTTGATTTTTGGCTTTGAAATGTGAGCCAAGATCTGAGTTACGAGCTCTAACGCTCGTCCCTCACCTCCCTGTTGTGCTTGCATTGCTTATGTGTGCCTAGTTCTCCCATCTGCCTCTCACTCAGTGTGGTAGCTTTGTTGTAAGGGTCATTTGTTGTCTGTGTTACTATGGATTCAGTCTTCTCTTGAAATAATACACCAAAATGCACAGGGGCTGAAGGTACCATACATCTTTATTGTTCAGAATACAAGAGTCTCGCACTACAGGCTATCTATATAGAGCCTTAGCTACAATGTCATAAATCACTGAAAACCTCTGGTGCTTGCCCTTTCCCACATATCATAAAATCATAGAGTTGGAAGAGACCTCATGGGCCATCCAGTTCAACCTCCTGCCAAGAAGCAGGAAAATTGCATTCAAAGCACGCCCAACAGATGGCCATCCAGCCTCTGTTTAAAAGCTTCCAGAGAAGGAGCCTCCACCAAACTCCAGGGCAGAGAGTTCCACTGCTGAATGGCTCTCACAGTCAGGAAGTTCTTCTGAACGTTCACATGGAATCTCATTTCTTGTAGTTTGAAGCCATTGTTCTGCGTCCTGGTCTCCAGGACAGCAGAAAACAAGCTTGCTCCCTCCTCCCTATGACTTCCTCTCACATATTTATACATGGCTATCATGTCTCCTCTCAGCCTTCTTTTCTTCAGGCTAAACATGCCCAGCTCTTTAAGCCGCTCCTCATAGGGCTTGTTCTCCAGACCCTTGATTATTTTAGTTGCCCTCCTCTGGACACATTCCAGCTTGTCAATATCTCCCAGAATTGCCCAGAATTGGACACAGCATTACAGATGTTGTTTAACCAAGGTAGAATAGAGGGGTAGCATGACTTCCCTGGATCTAGACACTATACTCCTATTGATGTAGGCCAAAATCCCATTGGCTTTTTTTGCCACCGCATCACACGTACTGCTCTCGAGCCACGCGTCCCCCTCCAGGATGAAGAGGAAGTATTGGTGAGCACCCTCTGGGTTCGTTCACTTAACCAATTACAGATCCACCTAACCATAGTTTTGCCTAGCCCACGTTTGACTAGTTTGTTTGCCAGAAGGTCATGAGGGACCTTACTGAAATCCAGATATGCTACATCCACGGCATTCCCTGCATCCACCCAGCTTGTGACTCTATCGAAAAAAAGAGATCACATTAGTCTGGCATGTCTTGTTTTTGATAAATCCGTGTTGACTATTAGCAATGATCGCATCTAAGTGTTTGCGGTCATTGCTTTTCCAGAATCTTGCCTGGCATTGATGTGAGGCTGACTGGACGGTAATTGTTTGGGTCATCATTTTTTCCCTTCTTGAAGATTGGGACCACAATGGCCCTCCTCCAGTCTGCTGGGACTTCTCCTGTTTTCCAAGAACTCTCCAAGATGATTGCCAGTGATTCTGAAATGACTTCTGCTAGTTCCTTCCATATTCTTGGGTGTAGTTGATCTGGCACCAGAGACTTGAACTTGTTTAGAGCGGCCAGGTATTGTGGACGACTTGTTCACAATTTGGGGTTGGATGTCCTCTAATCCATCTTGCTGAGGTTGAGGATGACTTTCTTTTTTGAGAAGACTGAGGCAAAGACGGCATCAAGTATTTCTGCCTTTTCCCTATCCCCTGTCAGCATTGCCTCATCTTCTCCTCGAAGAGGCCCTATCACCCCCTTGTACTTCCGTTTTCTACTGACGTAAGCAAAGAAGCCCTTTTTATTGTTTGTAATGTCTCTGGCAAGCCTGAGCTTGTTTTGTGCTTTAGCCTTGCAAAATGTTTCCCTACAGGAGTTAGCTATTTGTTTGAATTCTTCTTTGGTGATTTCTCCCTTTTTCCACTTCTTGTGTATGACTCTTTTGAGTCTTAGCAAGTTCTTTGGACATTCATTCTGGCTTCTTTGCACTTGTCCGATTTTTCTCTTTGTTGGCACTGTTTGCAATTGCACCTTGAGTATTTCGTTCTTGAAAAACTCCCATCCATCCATAACTCCCTTGACTTTTAGTATCAGCGTCCACTGAATGCTGCTCTGTATTTCCTTCATTTTTTGGAAGTCAGCTCTGCTAAAGCCTAGAATGGGGGTTTGACTTGTCTTAGTTTCAGCCTTCCTTTGTATCATAAACTGCAGGAGCTTGCCTCTGAGGATCCAGCCACTTCGACTGTATCAGGTCCTCCGCATTTGTTAGGATGAGATCGAGAGTAGCAGACCCCCTTGTTGTCTCTTCTACTTTCTGGACCATAAAATTGTCTGCAAGTCAAGCAAGGAATTTCTTGGACTTTGCACTCTTGGCAGTGTTTGTATTCTAGCAAATATCGGAATAGTTGAAATCACCCATGACTACTATATCTCTTCTTTGTGCCTGTTTAGTCAACTGTTGACAGAAAGCTTCATTGAGTTTTTCGTTCTGGCTTGGAGGTCTGTAATAGACACCCACAACGAGATATTTTTTAGTCCCAGCTTCCTTGATTCTTATCCAGATGATTTCAACCTGGTTTCCCGAATTGCAGTCTTGCATCTCTTCTGCGACGTAACTGTTTTTCACATATAAGGCTATTCTCCTCCTCTCCCATTTGTTCTGTTTCTGTGAAAGAGGTTATAGTCCTCGATATGTACATCCCAGTGATAGGAGGCATCCCACCAGGTTTCAGTGATGCCTAGGACATCATAATTGTGGTGTTGTGCTAAAAGTTGGAGTTAGTCTTATTTATTTCCCATGCTCTGTGCATTAGTGTAAAGACATGTGAACCCCTGAGATCTTCCCCTGAGCTATTTATTTGGGATTATTGTGCTTTCGGTACTTGGTCCTTGTTGTGTTTGTGCAACTCTCCGTTTAGCCTTTTGGTAGTTCCCTGACATTGTAGGTAAAGTACTGTTTGCAAGGCTTTTGTCCCCATCCCCCGGTGGACCTAGTTTAAAGTGCACCTAATGAGGTTTGCGAGTCTGTGAGCAAAAAGGCGTTTTCCCAATTGTGTGAGATGCACCCCATCCCTTTCCAGTAGGCCATCCTCCAGGAAAAGCAGGCCATGGTCGAGGAAGCCAAAGTGTTCCTCCTGACATCATTTTCTAAGCCAGTTATTGACCTATACTATTTTTCTGGTCTTTGTTTTTTGCTTTCTGGTCTTTGTAGGGCCGTGTCTTACAACAGGGAGGAGGGATGAAAAGACCTGTACATTACACTGTTTTAGCTTTGTTCTGAGAGCGCCTGTCCTCCCTATGTCTATGTGCTCTATGTCAGTACCGTGAAGCTCATAGTTGCATGGCATGAGTGATTATAACTTTTGTTCTCCTCCCTTTCCCAGTGTCTGGCCAGGTCCAAATTCACCAGCAGGGGGAGAACTCCTGATACAGTTAGGTAGCCTGTATTCCCACACATCGCCTTTTACCCTCCATTCATCAGTGAGGAGGGAAGTGTCTCCCTCCCTTCTTCCTTCCCTCCTTCTCTTTTTCTTTCTTTTTCACTCCCTTTCCAAACCCCAAGGGAAGAAGAAAAAGGGCTATTAGAGAAGATTGTTGTCTTCTGTCTGGATGCGAGGTTGCTAGCTCTTTGCCCATGGATTTAATCCTTGCCCTGCATCTTCCTGGTGCTGAAGTTATTCCACATCAATAGCTTCTCCTGGTGGGTGGGTGGCTTAGGCATGCAGGCTGTGTGTGGATTGGCTGTGTTAGGGAGTTGCCAGTGTGTTAGTTGGATTGGTTGAGAGGGAAGATGATATGGGGGGGTGTGTCTCTTTTGTGTCCGCCTCCCCGTTTCTCACCCCTCACATGCAAACACATTCATGAGTAGATTGCATGTCTCCTCCTTGTGTGTCCTGCCAGTGCCCCACCCATGAACATCTGGCCTTCAAACCTGTTGGGGGAGGGAGTGAGGAGTGTCAAATTTCACATAAGAACAATTTGAGTTAAGAGCTCAGTCACAGAACAAATTAAACTCTTAAGTCAAGGTATAACTATATCTGGTTGTTAAAATAAAAGGAAGTTCCTGCAATTTGTGCATCACTCAGAAAATACATCACAACAGCTTAAAATTTTTGGAAGTTCTAAAATTGACCTATTTTTAGAATTGATCAGAATGCATTTACCAAAGAGATGTACCAAAAATCTCGGTGCTTGCCAGTGTCCAAATGAAACCATTATTGAACTGTACTGATATGCTTTCTTGTTCATAAATGTACATCCGTCCCTTAAGTCCTGTGATCAAATAAAAATGTGTTCCCTCCTTTAACCTTTAAGGATATGTTCTTCTCTTGGTGTTCAGGGATTCCCCACACATCGAGA